TGGACAAAATTCGGCATCGTGGTATTATCAAGTACCTGCAGAAAAAGGGTTTAGCCCCCAAAGAATTTCATGCTCACATGGTTACTACGCGATAGGAGCATGGTGGAGTAATAGATAGTGGCTCGGATTGAGGAATCGGAGAGCCGAGTTCGAATTCCAGTCGGATCCATTACATTCACTTACGTGCTAATACCCTTTGGAAAGGTGTGAATCCTCTTCTTTTCTCTCCAGCTATGGGTAAATAGCAGGACAGACTGGGTTCTATAGCCTTGATGGCAACTGGTCTAGGAGAAGGAAAACTCTGAAACCAAAACCTGCGGAGGGTGAATGGAGTCTCTCTGAGCCTTGTTTGGCAATCCATTTAGTGATGGCGTCATGATAAAAACACCCTTGATAGCCGTAGCGAAGCATCAAGAATTTAGCTATTTGACAAGATTATGAACTACACCAATCAAAGTATTAGCTATGACAGATAAGGAATACTGGAAAGGTGTAGTGAGTTCAATCTCGGCTGAGGCCGCTAATAAAAAAAAAATTCGCGATGTTTTTATATTGCGTTTTCATTTGGTTTGGTTTGGTTTGTTTCACGGCATATCAACATCTCAATGGGTAATTTAATGCCGACAAGATCTTTATTGCTTTATAGTATTTTTTTATGTATAGATGATACTAATGCATTGCTCCTAATAATTTATCTTCAAAAATTTATTGCTGGTAATAAGTTTTTTGCGGGGACCTTAACATGAGCTACAAGACTGGGTTAGGGTTGACCTGGGAACACCAGCAATTAAGAGGTGGTTCCACGCTTTTCAAAACCTCCTGATCAGAGGCCTTGGTGTTGGATGTAGTTTATCGTCATACCCAGGACACAGATGTAGTTTATCGTCATACCCAGGATGCAGATACAGTTTATCATCTTACCCAGGACGCGGATGTAGTTTGTCCTCATACCCAGGACGCGTATGTAGTTTATCGTCATATCCAGGACGTGGATGTAGTTTATCATCTTACACAAGGCGCGGGTGTTGTTTATCATCATAGACCCACTGGATTTAGATAAATTCTATTCAATTGTGGAGTTATTGGAAAGAACGCTATATTTTTATTCGATGTGTTTGACGACACATACCATCACACCACTAGGCCATACCATTGGTCATCCAAATTTTTGCTTATAGAAATTATTTTTAAATGTAAAATAGCATTAATTGGTGATCAGGACTGTTGCATTTAGATAAATTTTTTACGCATTTGTCAAAATGGATGTTGGTTAAATGGAAAGATATCTACACTAAGTTTTTCATTCATGTGTTAAAAAATAAAATTTGAAATACATACCATCCCTTGTTCGTGCCATACCATTGGTCAAATAAAATTTGTTCGTTGAAGTCCGAAGAAACGAAATGCGTCGCATTTTTGCACTTTGTCAAAATCTTGCCCATTAAAATTCTTTCATTAATTGGTGATCATCCCTATCGGGTGATATATATATTATATTTACGCATTTGTTTAAACATGTATGTTTTCGTTAATGCCTGTTTCATTTGATATATACATTTTAGTTTTTCGTATTGACATAAGCAAAACATTATCATTGAAAAAATTAAATTTGAAATTTTAAATCCAATCTTTCCCTTGTTCCATTATCAAAGATGACAATTACTTTTCAATATATCAACAACCCAAATAAAATTTGTTTTTGTTGAAACTCCGAATAAACGAAATGCGTCGCAAAAAAATTATTTGCACTTTGTCAAACATATATCCAACCTTCGCAAAATTGTTTCCCGGTTAATATAAAAAAAATATATATAACATCCCTATCTATATATATATATATATAAATATATTTATATATATATATATATATATTCACGACGCTTGACATATTTAATGCAAACCAATTTTTTAGGCATTTAAAACAATGCCTGTTTCATTAAATAATATAGACAAGTTGTGTCTGTTTATTTTAAAACAAATTCCTTTCGTATTATACAAAACATGAAAACCCAACCTAAATCAAATCATATTGATACATATTTAAATCCAGTCTTTTGGTAACAGAAGCCATTGGTTTCTTACATTCTCCAATTCCATTATCAAAGATGACATGCAGTGCTTTTCAATATATCAATCCAATACACGGAAACGAAACAATAATGATAGTCTGTTTTTGTTGCATAACTCTTTGATAATGTATACGGGACGTTAAAAATAATGGAAAATCGCGTCGCTTTTTCGGTTAATGATAATGTTACAAACACAGAAGAGAGGAAAAATTTCGAGAAATAAATAGACAACACTTGTCTATATTATTTAATGAAACGTATATATATATATATATATATATATATATATGGGAAGCCGTTGGTATATATATATATATATATATATATATATATATATATATATAAATAAATACAAATATAGGTAACTATACTCGTTTCGTTAAACCCTCGAATTTTTGATTTGCCAATAATCAAATCAATCTCGAGGGAAAAAAAGGTTTTAAAAAAGAAAGAGTTACAAACATGAAAGTCTGTCGAAAAAAAAATCACAGATACAGGTTCAAAGCCCAAAGAAAAAACCCCGACACGAGTAAAAAACTAACTAACAAAAGAGCTCAATACAACCGTAGAGCAGACCTAGATAAACCTAGTGAGCCAGACAAACCTACCCAGGTTTCACCTAAACGGATCGTCAGGGAAAGCCGGCTCTCTCTGGATCTATATCTAGAGTGTACTGCCGGCTTTCCTTGACGATCCGCTTAGGTGAAACCTGGGCAAGTTTGTCTGGTTTTACTATATTATATATATATATATATATATATATATATATATGTATATACAGAATGTCCACAAATGTCCACAAAGTATATAGATAATTTTAAAAAGTCATTATGACAAACATAGTTGGGAATTAAAGTTTAGTTGCATGATAATATTTTGTTATTAATGTTTCTTTTATGACATTAATAGTTTTATTTGTAGGGACATTATTATTATAATTAAATAATAATAATAATAATAATAATAATAATAATAATAATAATAATGAATATTATAAATAAAATAAAATATTAAAAAACTGTTTAAAATAAAATAAATTAAAATAATAAAAATTCTTCTAGCATACAACAAAAACTGCTCCTGCCGAAAATACTGATATCTCGCCAAATGACGTTGGATTCTATCTCTTTTCCAAGAATCTTGTGACGGCCAACACGTGTCCAACTTCTCTCCCTGTGACATGATTAATAAGAATAATACGAAGCAACTTCTTCCTTTCATTACATGCACCATGAATCATTTTAACGAAAAATACATATACCACTACACATAAATTGTATGATATGAATGTACTATTTGCCATGCTTTCCTTTGTCAGTTTCATTTCTACGATGTATGTTTTTATTTCCTGTAAACACAAGGCTGCTATGATGTGAGTGACTCCCACATATTAATGTTATATCTTTCATCTTTCAGACCACAATTAATATTTTTTATGCTTCCTACCGCAATGACTTTGTGGACATCCTGTATATATATATATATATATATATATATATATATATATATATATATATATATATAAAAAGAGAGAGAGAGAGAGAGATGTGCAGACTTATACAGATAAGGCGATGAACAGGGTATCTTAGACTACATTTAGAGAGACACACACACATAGATACACAAGCACACATATGTGTGTGTCTGTGTGTGCTTGTGTTTGTGTCTGTGTTTAAATGCATTCTAAGATACCCCTGTTCATCGTCTTATCTGTATAAGTCTGCAAATCTTTCTCTCTCTCTCTATCTCTCTATATATATATATATATAGAGAGAGAGAGAGAGAGAGACAGACAGACAGACAGACAGACAGAGAATGCATTGAAGCGTGACTGCAATTTTCACGCTTCAAATCACTCTTCGAACCAATTATCTACAAACATTCTTTCTCGGATACTGAGCTCTCTTTCCTTCCCAATAATGCAAATATCTAATTATATATATATATATATATATATATATATATATATAACGATCTGTAACAACTTGCTATTTCATGACAAATACTAGAACAAAAACACAATGAAAAACAATAAATACATCACTAATATACAGGAAGCCACATAAAAATTCAATTGAAATTTCATTACCGGAAGCCGTGACGTCCATTGCTTCGTTTCGAAATAGAAAGTAAAGAAAACTTTGCTTTCTCAGGCTAATTTGCATAACTGTGTTTAATAATCTGATTTATCTAATCCCACTGGGGATCGAGAAAATCCATGTAATCACATTGGATTGATCATATTTGGACGCTGGACGTACTGAAATGATTACTTGATGCCTTTGATCAGAGATGAAAGGTTGGGAGATTGTGGACGCAACCCACACACAGTCGATTTTCTCTTTGGCGCTCACGTTCCCTCTTCTGGCGTGCTGATGTACTAAAAGATGGAAACTACAGCCGTATACACGGGGGATTGTAAGTCGGCATATCTAAATGTTCTCTATAAAGCTGAAACAGATGATAAAAAAACAAAGAAAATTACTAATCTACTAATCGACTGAGAGTTCTTGCCTATTCTTCGTCTTGCTGATGGAATCGGAGTCAAAGCGGACGGAGATAGGAGAGGAAATGCTAATGAAAAAAAAAAAAAAGAATACATTCGCGGAGGAAATCTTAACTCGCAGGCTGTTGAAAGTCAGATCTTGTCTGACGCGATGATACGTGATTAGAGGCGGAATTGATCTTATAAATAATTATACTTTTTCATAAATACCGACTCAGTAAAATTCAGTGAGTTCGTGTTCTCATTCTTTCCTACAACATGAGGAATAGACTGTCAGAATTAACCTTACTATCCAACGATCCATTAATCGTCCTATCGTAAACGTAAAACTATTTATCTGCCATTCCATAAAAAGGAATAAACCCTAGAATCCGATTTTCTAAACCGTAGTAATGCGTGTACCCTAAATAATTTTAGTAGTACACGATTAAATAATAATTTGTATTTAATAAATATATAGATAGATAGATAGATATGAACAGATTTAAATAGATAGATATGAACAGACTTCAATAGATAGATAGATAGATAGATAGATAGATAGATAGATAGATTTAAGTATCCTGCAGATAGATAGATAGATGGAGAAACAAATACTAAATGGCGACTGGTCCGTGATTACGTGTTATCTGAAATGATCTTTTAAATAATTATGCTTTTGCATATATAGCTACTCAATAACTTTCCGTGTGAAGCTTTGTGCATTCATTCATTCCTACAACAGGATAATTAGACTGCCAAAATTAACCTTACTATCCACCGATCTATTAATCATCCTATGGTCATCTGAAACTATTTATCTGCCATTCCTTAAAGATGAATAAACCCAAGTACCCGACTTTCTAAGCAGTAGCAATATATTTACGCCAAATAATTTTAACAATATACTTTTGCAATTTATATAATTTGCATTTAAAAGATAGATAGATAGATAGATAGATAGATAGATAGATAGATAGATAGATAGATAGATAGATAGATAGATGCAATAATCCGTTGCATATAGTGAAAGTCAGTTTCACGACTTAAGTGGTCGTCAGGTTACTTATCAGTACACTCTGCGTGGATTTAATATGTAGATTTCTGGGGCTCTTATGTGAAATGTAAGAAATATTCCGGATTTTACCAGTTTTTTAATGTATAATTAATTATTTTAGTTTTATTTTATTTTATTTTATTTATATATTTGTTTATTTAATTATGTATTTTTTGTGTAAATATTTCGGTTCTTTTGATATTTCAAACAAAGTTCATTAGATTTAAGTTGTAGATTATTGTTCAGTCTTTTGAGTTATGACTTGATTGTAGGTAGCGTAGTAGGAATTAAATTATGTTAAGAACTATCTTTGTAATCTTAAGACTTTTGTGCTCCTCTTTGGATGCTTAGTTTGCATCCAATTATTAAATCCTCTAATTAAAGAATAGCGGGCGTTTATCTTTGACCAGTGATCCTATAATTATTGAGTAAGAAGGGATTAATGATGACGAGTAAATTCATAATCATGAAACGTTTTCGCTCGATTGTATGTTTCTATCATTAAATCTGTTGTAATCAATTAACAGCTAATATATATATATATATATATATATATATATATATATATATATATATATATTGTATAAACTCAAGTTAGATTGTGAGGAAAATATATATATATATATATATATATAATATATATATATATATATATATATATATATAAGCAAATATATGGATATGGATCCGACACTATGAAGAAAAATATACGGAAAAAACAAACAAAAATCTTAATATGCAATTATGCTGTTTTAATGTTAATATAATGTCAACGTCGGACGTTTCGGTCTAATAGAGCATCTTCAGGAAATATTCATAAAACATAATTAACATCGACCATATATAATTCAACATGAAAAAACGATGGACATATATATATATATATATATATATATATATATATATATATATATATATATATATATATATTATGAAATAGACAAAGTCCGACAATTATTTTAAGACATTTTATGTTTATATATTCTTTTTATAGATACAAATATTTAAGTAAATGCTCTCTTTTATAATAAACAGTATTAACAACATTTACCGGCCTGAATGTCCGAGAATGCACGTCAGGCTATATGGCGGTTCCGTATAGGATACAGGTTCGAATCCAGTCGGAGGACGAATATTTTCTATGACAATTTCTCGGACATTCAGGCCGGTAAATGTCGTTTAATACATAAAATGTCTTATAAATATATATATATATATATATATATATATATATATATATATATATATAATATATATATATATATATATAAAAAAGAACAGTCCGGTGTTCTTATAGATATTTTTATTTTTACAAAATAGTGCTCAATGTAAATTTACAGAGCATTAATATTATAAATTAACTGATTTAAAATATGGTTTTTTCCGCTATACAGTTCTAACCATGTTTCAAAAATAGAAGCTAAAAACCCCGAATTTAATTTTGCAATGAAATTAAAAGCATTAGTTCAATTTCATAATTCGCTTGAAGATGAAATTAAATTAAAAGCATTAGTTCAATTTCATCTTCAAGCGAATTATGAAATTGAACTAATGCTTTTAATTTAATTGCAAAATTAAATTCGGGGTTTTTAGCTTCTATTTTTGAAACATGGTTAGAACTGTGTAGCGGGAAAAATTCCTATTTTAAATCAATTAATTTATAATATATATATATATATATATATATATATATATATATACTAATGCATGTTTCATTAAATAATATATATATAAGTGTTGTCTATTTATTTTAAGCAAATTACTTTCATATCGTCTGATAAGATTAATAACATTATCATTGAAAAACGGAAGAAAATCACCATATTGATACCTGTTTTTTTTTTTAATTCTATCTAAGCTTTCGTCTTACATAAGCCATCATCAGGGATGACAAGTACGTTGCAATAAATTAAACAATACACGGACATAACAACAATGATAGTCTGTTTTGTTTGCTTGGAAGATTTCCAGGCAACCACAAACTCATGAATACAAGACACTGGAAACGAAAATCGCATCGTACCTCGTGACATCACACATGACCACGCGAGAGTGAAAACAAGAAGTATTAAGTATGGGAAGCCGTTGGTCTAAACCAATGGCTTCTGTTATCAATTATAGACATTTAAGAATATTTGTGGAGTTTTCATAGTTTATTTTGTTCAGGTTAGGTTTCAACTGTTTTATGTATATATCTTCAAGAATTTTTAGTTTTTGTTTGTTTTCATGTTTAAGTATAATTGTGTTTCAACAAGGATTTTCCGGAATTGTGTATGCGGCCAGGCATGTTGTTTTAAATGAAACATGCATTAATGAAATAATGCTGCCTAAATACACACACAATATATATATATATATATATATATATATATATATATATATATATAGAGAGAGAGAGAGAGAGAGAGAGAAATAGAATGTAAAACCAAAATTGCGTCATTCGAATTACTGTTTCAGTCAACAAGACTTATATATTGGCTTTGTCAACACAGAGGTGTGAAGAAATGAAATGAGAGCCTAAAATTTAAACATTTAAAGAAGAAGAAGAAGATGTAGAAGAAGAAGATGAAGAAGAAGGAGGAGGAGAAGAAGAAGATAGAAAGATGAAAGATAAAAAGAAAAAAAAAGAACAACAAAATGGAAGCTGAGAATATAGACGTAGATTTCAACAAATTCCCAATATCACTTGTAGGAGAAGTGAGAGTGTCTGGTTCAAGACGACAGTTAAAATAACCTTGACCTATATTTTAAAATAGTAACATCTCAATTTAGGTTGAAACGGAATCACAAAATTAAAGACAATTTGAAACAATTTTAAAAATTAAAATAGAAAATAATAAAAACTAGTTCTAAATCAAAGAAAAAAAAATACTTCCTCCTTTTTTAAAGAAAGAAAATTTCCAAATCTATGCTAACAAAAAATAGGAAAAAACAACCATCAATATTTTATATAAGGAATATTGCATAAAAGTATTTGAAAATTTAAGATGTTTTTATAATTAAAAAAAGTAAGTAAAAAGTAACATCTGAAATTAAAAATTTAAAATTTAAAACAATATATAATATACAAATAATATAATAAATAAAATAATTAATAAATGAAATGATTATTAAATAAAATTATTAAATAAAATAAAATTAAATATGAAATATAAAATATTAAATTAAAAATATTAAATATAAATTAATAAAAATTACAATTAATTTCCTTTGGTTAAAATTAAATTAATATTACTTAAAAAAATACTAAATGTATATTTAATAATGTATTATATACCAACGGATTATCACCAATATATATATATATATATATATATATATATATATATATATATATATGATTTGAACAATAAAAATAGTAAGAAATTAAAAAAAGAAATTTTCAAACGCACTCGGTTTATATTAATATTTTTTGTTTTATTATTTCAATTAGATTCCTCATATATATATATATATATATATATATATATAGAGAGAGAGAGAGAGAGGGGGGTAATTAATATATATGCGTATAAATATGTATATATATATATATATATAAGGAGAGAGAGAATTAAAATATAACATATATATATATATATATATATATATATATATATATATATATATATAGAAGCCCAGTTTTCATCGGTGTGGATAGACATCCGATTGCTTCAATCCCCACACATAATAATGAAGGGGATTGCTTATCAAGATAGTTAGGTGGCCAGGTGTAAGGGTGATGTCGTCGGAGAAATTATCTGACAGCCATAGCTGGTCTCTTCTATTTTTGTGGCATGGTGCAGAGACCTGTTGCCAGAGAGCACCCAACCTCTGGACCCAGGGCAGCCCGACCTTCTCAAGGCACTTGGTGTAGGCCTCCGTGTTGAGTGCGTGGCCCTATAGCAGTGCGTGACCCAGGGCAGCCCGACCTTCTCAAGGCACTTGATGTAGGCCTCCGTGTTGAGTGCGTGGCCCTATAGCAAGATTAATGGAGGCATAACGTTGCCATCACTCGTGATCACGCCAAACACCTTCGTAATCACCATTAGACTCATCCAAATCCTTTGCACTTGACTCATATTGACAATCAAACACTCTACAATGTTCGCATGCTGTTTTGAAATTTCTGGCGGAGTGATTTGCATCGTTGTGCTCTTTTTTTTCTCATACGGTAACCTAACTGGCCCTACTATAACGTGCAGTCGACAAAATCATAAACAAACATCGCGCATGCGTGAAATAAATAAAATAAAATGGCGACCATTTAACCGTCACACCCTGTACATTGTCTTCCAACCACGGCTACAGGGTATAGTCTATCTTCTTATTTAACCCATAGGATGGCTTTATACCTTTCACAAGACATTTCTTTTCTGTGCGAAAAGGATTGTATAACGATCTCGACCTGAATTTCGAACTCTGCTCCCCGATTTCTCGTTCAAAGTCTTGAAATAGCCGAGATATCAAGAGTTCAACATGAAGGCAATAACAAGTGCGTTTCAGGGTAACTTCCTGTTTTTTGTTTGCTTGGTTTTTTTTTTGTTGTTTGTTTATTATCCAATTAAGTGTGAAAATCGACCTGACAGCACCCCCCGACTAAGTGATGCAGAAAGAGTCGATAATAAAAAAAAAACGATATAAGACGCGACACTTGAAAATCAACAAAGAACGATGACGCATGCAAATACAGACAATCATATCAAGACGAAAATAAAACTCTTTGATGATGGATTATGAAAAGCCGAAAGCGATCAGAAAACATGAGAGAATTTATTTTCAAACTCAAGCTGAAAACCAGATAAATTTAGTTAAAAATACTTCAAATAACAGAACTTTTATATATATATATATATATATATATATATATATATATATATATATATATATATATATATATATATATATATAGTTAAATTCCCAGAAGAATTCTGTGGACAAGACAGATTGGCATCAAATGACAATTGGAAAAAAAATCTTACATTTGCCGACGCGTTTCGTCTTCCGACTTTTTCAAGGCAAAAATGAAATCGAAATGTTTTTGTTGTTATAGTTACCTTAAAAAATCCATATTTAAAAAGATAGACGCTTCTGTCTAAGCCTTTTTTTCCTGGTTAATGTAATGGCTTGGACAGAAGTGTCTATCTTTTTAAATTTGGATTTTTTAATGTAACTATAACAACAAAAACATTTCGATTTAATTTTTGCCTTGAAAAAGTCGGAAGACGAAACGCGTCGGCAAAATGTAAGACTTTTTTCCAATTGTTATATATATATATATATATATATATACACACACACACACACACACACACAAAAAAAAAAAAAAATGAAAAATGACAAGTTCCGACAATTATTTTAAAAACATTTTCTTTTTTATAGATACAAATATTCAAGTAAGTGCTCTGTTTATAATAATGAGTATTAACGACATTTAGCAGCCTGAATGTCCGAGAAATTGTCATAGAAAATATACGTCCTCCGACAGGAATCGAACCTGTATCCTATACGTAATCGTCATATAGCCTGACGTGCCTTTAACCGATTTGGCCAGAGGAGCGTTCGGTTAGCAAGGTCGATTATACTGTCTTTAAACTACAATTCTCCATGATTTTCTCACGTACATTCATATCTGCTCAAAGCGTATCCAAATGTAAACAAATGACGTCAGACATTATGAAATGGACAAAGTCCGACAATTATTTTAAGACATTTTTTATGTTTATATACATTTTATATACATTTGGATACGCATCGAGCAGATATGAAGGTACGTGAGAAAATCATGGAGAATTGTAGTTTAAAAACAGTAAAATCGACCTTGCTAACCGAAACGCTCCTCTATGGCTCAATCGGTAAAAGCACGTCTGGCTTATATGGCGGTTCCGTATACGATACAGGTTCGATTCCTGTCGGAGGACGCATATTTTCTATGACAATTTCTCGGACATTCAGGCCGGTAAATGTCGTTAATGCTATTTATTATAAAACAGAGCATTTACTTAAATATTTGTATCTATATAAAAGAATGTATAAAGATAAAAATGTCTTAATATATATATATATATATGTGTGTGTGTGTGTGTGTGTAAAATATCAGATAGACTCTATCTTTAAAAATGAAAACTTATCCTGGTCGACGCGCTTCGTCCTCACTGGGATATTATCAAGGTAATTTAGTTCAAAATTAGTTTTAAATACTTCAAAGAACAGAACTTCATCACAGAAATTATATATATATATATATATATATATATATATATATATATATATATATATATATATATATATATATATATATATATATATATATATTCGTCTCTGTCTGTAAAAAATTCAATTAAACTATACCTGTAAAAAGGGAATTAAAAAATAATGACAAATGAGAACTTAGCGGACGCGTTTCGTCATCTGTGGAACTTTATAAAATTAATTTAGCTAAGATTAGTTTAAAAATACATCAAATAGTAGAACGCTCATCAGAGTGAAATGTTTAATAAATCTTAATTTATTGAATATTATAACACTAGTTATCTATAGAGCGCGTTTTTTGGCCAAGCAACCCCCTGTCGCGATGAACGGATATCCCTTAAGGCAAGGTCCGTATCTTGAGAGACTAGTGGACTTTAAACTCACCCCAGATCTTAAGTGAAACTCCTAGATACGATCAATCATAATACCTCATCTCAGAGATATAGACAGATATAGATGTCCCCTGAATCTTAGTGGCTTAGTTGCCTTCCTTGGAGTGAAATCATTAAATAATGATAATAATAATAATATTAATATATGGTCTAATAAAACATTACGTAAAATTTGTTAGAAGTTTATGCGTTTAAAGTCGAACAGATTTTATTAGAAAGCTAGAGCCAGCAGGTGAAGAAAAATTCAAAGGACTTATCTTGCGACCAATTTTAAGTTTCGCGTATAAGTTTCAATGTAAGATAAATCATCTGTTTAATGCCCGAAACTTAAAGTCGGTCACAAGATAAATTACAAGGCAAAAAATAAAAAATAGATGCAGCCCTAGAAAGTCGATTTTTGCATTTTTACCAAGACAAGTAATTATTTAGCATTTTGTTGGGTAACTTTTTGCTTTAATAACGGCCTTAATTCTTCGTGGCATTCTATAGACTAAATTCTTTAGTAAGTCAACGTCCTTCGTCAGATTTCTCCAGCGTTTCTTTAATTCATGAAAAAGCTCATCGTCTGTGTTAACTTCCCTATTACGGACACGATTGTCCATTATCGCCCAAAGGTTTTCAATCGGGTTACGGTCAAGGCTCTGACTAGGCCACTGGAAGAGTTAAAGGAATGTTGGAAAAATCTGGCGTGGGACGTTGACTTATTAAAGAATTTAGTCTATAGAATGCCACGAAGAAATAAGGCCGTTATTAAAGGAAAAGCTTAACCAACAAAATAGTAAATCATTTTTTGACTTGTATAAGGTACACCTGTATTAATAAACGAATTCTATTACTCGCTTGTCTTGGTAAAAATACAAATAATCGACTGTCTATGGGTGCGTAATTTTTTTTTTTTTTGCCTCGTACAGTAAGTCGCTTGAACTTTTCTTCGTCTGTTAACTGTATATATATATATATATATATGTGTGTGTGTGTGTGTGTGTCTGAGCGCGCGTGTACATTCTGTTATATTACAAGCATCTAAAAATGACTAGAAAAAACGGACAATAAGTTACGATTAGGGCTACAGTTCGACTGAATGGCAACTGTCCAACCCCAGGATGTAACATGTCATGCGTAATAAGTGACGGAAAGATAATTAAAAAAAAAAAAAAAAACATCGTTTGTTTGTATGTATGTGTGTGGTGGGTGGGTGACAAATTCTTTGTATGTATATTCATATCTACTTATACAGAGGCACACCTCAGGTTTATGACATTTCTCGTAGATTGAATTGTGCCTTGCTGAGCTGCAGATCACCTGCTGGCCTACCTTTACAGGTGAATATTAATTCAGAAGTTTTCGTTATTTCATAAGCCTTGCATTGATGAATTAAGATTAAATACAAGACGACAAAACCTCTGCCAGGCAGTAACGAACAAATAACAAGGAAAAGGTGGGCCAGAAAACGTGTCGATGGTTTTCTCTCTCTCCCCCTCTCTCCCCTCTCTCTCTCCCTCTCACTATCTTTCTCTCTCTCTCTCTCTCTCTCTCTGTCTTTTAGTAGAACGTCTCGACGTTAATTTCTGCCGATTCTTTTACAGAAACACGAAACACAATCTCTGTTATCCTTCATCAGAATAGGTTTATTCTTTTAAAGTTCCGATTAATCCACCGGTGGGGGGATAGATAGATAGATAGATAGATAGATAGATAGATAGATAGATAGATAGATAGATAGATAAGCTGAGATAGATAGATACATACAT